GTTATAGACAGTACATATGCATTGTGGAGCAAGGCAGACCCATACACATGACCACTAAAGCACCGACTTTAGGCTGCCACTAAATAAGAAGCCTTAAATTTATATGTCAATATAATATAGTTTATACCCAAAATTTAAACCTATAAAAATTGAGTCTAGTAAAAAAATTCAATTAAAATTTCAACCAATAAAAAAATCTTAGTTAAATGATTTGGATCCAAAAGTCTAGCTCAATGACTCACAAAATTAAATTTGCCAAAGAAATAATAAGGTTGAAAAAACACAAAAAGTAGTCATTAAACATCAATAATCACTCTCTCTCTCTCTCACACACACACAAACACGTTCTCCTTCTAGCTATATTTTTGTCCTTATGTAAAATTAAAACACAAATCAAACAAATCATCTCCCCCTTTTAATCTCATTTTCTATTTTTTTACCTATTACTATTGCAATACTTTTTTAAATAACTAAATACATAAAACATTAATCTACTGAATCTACTCAGCGGTGAGAAACTCGCAGAGACTGTGATCATTGCGAGATGCATAAACATTTTGATCTTTTAAATGGGAAGAGGTAAAACACTTATGGCCTGACTATTAAAATAGCCTCCTAGAGTATAAAAAATTTAGGACCCCAATTTAATTTTTAGCCCTTAATTTAACTTCATATTCTGAGATTATTTTGAATAGACCAAGTTAAAGGCCCAATGTATTTCACAAGTCTTGGTAAAATTTTATAAAAAAAATCCTAAAATATAACAATATTTTTACAAGTTTAATGTAAAATTTTATAGAAAGTCTTAAAATATAACAAAACCTTTTAAAAAAAAACCTAAACGTAACGAGTTCTAGTATTATAAGTAACATTCTTTCTCAAATTCCCTTCACAGTTTTTTTCTCTACTCTCACCGCCTCTTTCCAAATCTTTATCTCCATCTTACTCTAATTGCCTTGTTCTCTCTTTGTCCTTATCTCTAACTCTTTTACTCTCTTTAAGACTCTAATCAATTTATTCATATATATAAGATCCCAATTTCATAATTGCATCCAATTGGTTAGCTGATCGCATTTGATCTCAAAATCACTAAAATGTTCATACTAAACCACACCGAAATTCTCTGTAAAATATCTAATAGTCATGAAATTTTTTTATTTTCTTTTTAAAATATTGATCGACGTGAAATTCTTTCTTTAAGCCTCAATTTATATTGAGCCGCCCTGGTTGTGGAGGTCATTATGATTGATAATTTACTATTTATTATGTTGCTCTTAAGGAAATAAAATGGCAAGAAAAAGAGGAAGTAAAGAGAGAATAAGGCGAAAACATAAAGATTTTTACGCGGTTCACTTACATCCATGACACACAAGAGAATAAGACGGAAACACAAAGACTTGGTGATTAGTGACCATGCATGGCACACAAGGATCAAAAGCTCTATCTTTTATACTGACCCATCTATCATGTTTGTTGTCATTGTCTCTTAGGTTGTCAGACAATTTTATTCCTTGAAGAACAATGTTACTCTTGTGTAATTAGGGACTTAATTTAAGTATTTAATCTATTGATTACCCAACATTAGCAGTAGAACACAGGAACCTGAGAAGGCCAATTATAAACCCAATTCCGCATACCACTTCCAAAATGACCTAACTTTTAAAGGAAGAGGTGGAAACTTATCAATTAACCTGAAAAATTTTGTCATAAAGGATGTAGATTTTCACTTCAATTTTTATGAAAATAAACACAATCAACACAATGATACATAATGTCACTATTTAATAAAAATACAACAAAATGAATAAAGTAGTCCTAATTTTTTTTTTACATGCGGTGATTATCAAATGACATAGAGGGGTGATTATTAGTAAATGTAAGATCCACTTTCTCACTTATTAATTTTTTTATTGAACGATAACATTATATGGCTACGAGGACATGGGGTCACTGTTGCAATAAATATTTTCTCATAATCTGGAAACCTAATGATTAATTATTAGGTCGAAAGTAAATTCCACTAAACCTTGAGAACTAATAACTAATCTAATAGCTGAAATGAATTCACTCCTGGATTAGATTCCCAAATTTAGTCTCAATATTATTGTTAAAAAAAAAACCCACAAAATGATTGATGGCACCTCAGGAAGCTTCATTTTTCAGTCAGTGTGCTATTGTTTAGTTGTTATTTTCCTGCAAATTTTCTTCTCTCAATAGCACATATATGTGTGTGTGTGTAGAGGGAGAGAGAGTGTTGTGTTGGGGGGGGGGGGGGGGGAGAGAGATAAGTAACAAGGACGTCTCAAAAGCGAAAGCTGCCATGGAAATTGAGAGCGTAGCAACACTCACAGTCAAACGTCAGTATACATGGGGCCTCAACATCAAAGTATACATAGGCACAAACAGCTCGAAGTAGCAATTTCTGAGCCCTTCTTCTTCCATTTCTCTGCTTTTTCTTTTACTTTTGTTCAGATTATCCCCTTATGGTGCAACAATATTATAAAATCTAAATAAAATTTAAAAAATTATAATTTAAATATATATCGTCTTTTATATAAAGAAATTTTTTCAATAAAACTCACTCTTATAACACTCATTCAAAAAATAATATATATTTAAATTTTAACCTTTAAATTACATATATAGCATTTTTCATTATGTTGACAGTTTTGGTATCACTGTATATCAGTGCAATACGACCCATCCACCGACCCAAAAAAACGATCTTCATCACTTTTGCACACATTAAGAGGTAGAGAGAGAGAGAGAGAGATTGCTTTTTTAACGGTTGGTGTCCTGGTTTTGATAGCTTTATTCCTTTGTTAATGCACCCCTTGGTTATTGCAAAAGCAAATCCAAAACCAGATTCCACCACTCAGATCAACAAACCCCTTATCTTCAAAAAATTTCTTTCCGTTACGGTATTAAAAATTTTAAAAATATATATAAAATGATAAAAAGTTTTACTCATAAAATAATAAAATTTTATTCAAAAAATTGATAAGTGAAACCTAAAAAGTGAATATATCGCCAAAATTAATAAACTTTACCTAAAATAAAAGACAAATATCAAAAGAATATGATAAGTAATACCATACAATTTTTTATTTTTCCCGCCCTGCGAAATGACATCACTACGGTTCTAACTTTTTATTTCTCGAATTCTAAGTAGATCGCTGTAACTTGAAATAATTTAAAAAATATCTTCTGAAAAATAAGAGTAATTCATTTTTAAGGAACGAGAGAAATATAAAATTTAATACCTAAGACATCTTCCTTGTGAAAGAAGAGGCTTGAGCTGGAAGGAAATTATATATACATGTGGAGTGGAGCAGATTGAAATGTGGTTGCGAAAATATAGGGCTTTTCTGTACGGATAGGAAAATAGGGTTAAGGATAGGACTGAGAATACATGACATACAGATAGAAGAGAGATGTACCAAAAAAAAAATACAGATAGAAGAGAGAGGTTCTTGTTTTTATTCTTTTGACTTATAATTTTAGTTTCCGACTTTTGTTTTTGGCATGGTTTTGAGTGATATTTTGGCGTTTTATTACTTTTCACCACTTGTCCATCTCTCTCTCTCCCCCACACACACAGACGAATACTAATCACCCAGTACACTAACAACAAATAAGTACGTCTTATGACTATGCACGCCACTTCCTAGGAGCTATCCATGCTCTTATAATTACAAAATCATTGTAAGAATCTCTCTCTCTCTCTCTCGCCCTGCGGGTGTGCAAGTATGGGCACGAACTTTGCCGTCGTTGAACGGTTTTTTCGAGCGGGTGAAAACAACTAACCATTGGTAAAACTTTCCAAAAACATAAGGCATGGAGGTACCCGGGAATTTGGAATTGTCATATAAGTGATTAAAGAGACTGAGGGGTTCTGTCATCAATGACACACTTCGACTTTCTAACTTTGTGTTGATGAACCTAAGCATGGACAAAGTCTCATTCATGGCCGTCCAAATTTCTTCCAGAAGGAAACCACTGTACCGTTCAAACCCAATACGGGAATTGCTTTCCGTTGGCCTAAAAAAAGCAGGATACTGTGCTTATGTGAGAGAGAGAGAGAGAGAGAGAGAGAGAGAGAGAGAGAGTTGCAGCCTTGCAGGAAATGGTAGACTCTCACACTTTAGGAGTTTAAGGCCTATCTGTAGCTCATTTTCTTTAGCCAAGAATGGAGGGTGACTGCTTAGTAGTGACAATCACACAAACTGAACAAACGGAAAACAACTGATTGGATGACAGTCGCAGGAACTTGATCTTACCCAAAATTTAATATAATGCATGAAGGAGGCAAGGTGCAGTCCTGCAGCAACTCCTCTTAGCCAAACATGGGTTGCAGCAACGATTTGTCGGTTTTGATAACTATTTGTTAAGACGAGCACCTGATTTAATTAAGTAACAACGTAGATAACAAAGTGAAAATATACACAAATATGAAACAATTTGGTCGTTTGTTGCGTTGTACTTAAACATCAGGATTTGATTTCAGTTCAATGAGTGGTATTGCTGGATTAGAGATGAGAGGGTTGTTCAAAGGTTCATGAGAAGTTGAGATTGGAGACTGGATTTGAGTGGCTTATTTTTTTGGCTGGTTGAAAAGGGTGATCAGGGGCGGTCAGGCGTAACACTTCAAGGATGATACCTTGAGATTTCCGATTTCTTTCATAGTGAAAACGTAGGCAAAATTTTGCCCAAAGTCTCACCACACTACACAAGTCTAATGAACTAATTATATGAGATGAACTTCCTCTGCCCCAAAACCGAATGAAACAACAACAATTCGACCTAATGGACCATTAATCCTCTTCTTTCACAACCTAAAGCGACTCACAAGTTTGCTTGAATTGTTTTACAAGTTCAATACAAAAATGTGGGTACTTCAGCAAGGTTTGTTGATCATGACATGGCATATATAGGAGTCTTCCGGCCACCACTAAAAGCAATCACAATATATAATAGAACATTATATATATGCTAAAATACTTCCATAAAACCAATATTCAACTCTACTAACTTAGTACAGCATATTTGATTCAGCCTGCATGTCTGGCATTGAAAATTTGAAATACATGAATGCATAGACCTACTTCTGAAAACGTACCCATAAAAGAAACAAAAAATCAAAGCAAATTGATTAAAACCAGAAGCTAGCCTACCATTACTTGGTTTTTCCATCGGCCCTTGAAGAAACAAGCTCATTGATCTATGCTTAATCCCAGTTCACCATCTTAAAACCTTGGGGTTCAAATTAAACTTGCAAGTAAAGGAGGATCATTGGAAGTTCAATCTTTCCAAGTTGAGTTCTCTTGATGGAAGACTTTAAGAAAAGCTAGTGTATTGAGAAGGTGAAAGAAACAAGTTCACAAGAACTGGCTGGTCGAAGAAGAAGTGAAAGCAGAAAGGTCAGTCCATGAATTGCCACCCCAATACTGATCATTCCCTGAAATACCCAGAAAATTCCTTGATAAATTCAAGCCTTGATTTTCTTCCAGTTTCACTGTAGCCTGCTGAGTAACTCCAGACTCCAATGGCTTAGTCCCAAGCTCCAGACCAGTGGCTCCACCCACGTAATTTGATGGCTCAGCAACTTCACCCTCAAATTGGTATATCCCATTGGGTGGTTCCAAGCCACCCATGAAAGGAAATTGTTGCAGTCTCCATTGTTGACCAGACATAATAGATCCAGCACCAGTTAAACTATTACCCACTTGAAATTCCATATCTCCACCACTTCCACCACCTGTCACTGCCATCGGATGCCGGATTGCCCCAAAATTCAGGCCAATACCGCCACCGCCGAAGTCAGTAAGATGATGTAAAGAGGGCAATAAGGGTAATTGTGAAGGTGCTGGTGGCAAATGACCTATTATCTCGGTGGTGCAGTTATCAGATGAAACAGCACTAGTTGAGCTAGAACCCCCTTGGCCCTCGCCGGTGCCTGGAGACTTCGATCTCCTGCCTTTGCTTCTCTTGTTCCTCCGGCAACCACCGCCAACGGGCACACTTCTCAAAGCGCCGCCTCTAGTCCAGTATCTCCGGCAGGTCTTGCAAAAGTGGCGGGGCTGCGAGAGGCTGTAATTGTTAAAATAGCAGAACTTTGTATTGGTTGATTCGCATCGTGGGCATTTCAGCGCCGCCTCTGGCTGTGGCAACTTGGCTAGCCTGGCTCTCTCCGCCATCGAACCAGGCCTGATTGTTCCTGTGTCGCCTCCTCCGGCCGTCGGAGGTGGCAGCACAGGTGGTGGAAACTGGGGGTTCTCACTTCCGCCTCCTGGTTGCTGATTTGGTTGCTGTAAATGCAAAGAAAACAAAACAAATATTTGGTATATTCAAGCAGAGATTAAAAAGAGGGTCCGAATATTTATCTTTTAATTAGCTTTTTTTGGTGAAGAAGATAGAGACAGAGAAAGAAGTTATAGAAAACCTTACATGTTGCCAGTTGGGAGGATCTAGATAGGCCGGAACGGATGAGAAAACCATGGTGCTTCCTCTTTCTCTCTCTTTTGTAAAGGTTGATCGGTTTATGGTGGAGAATCACATCACTAAGGGAGTTGCAGAGAAAGAAAGAGAGAGAAAGAAAGAGGAGGTGACTGGAAAGATAAAGGAGTGGTGTTTATTTATTGGTCTTGTTAGCCCACTCTCTCTTTTTGTTTTAGGGTTTGAAGGAATGCCAAGCTTTCTTAATACGTAAGGTTCTTTTTCAGTGCGCGGTTTAATTAACATTAACCAGGAACGATATACCATGCATATATATATACATGTGTGTGTGTGTGCGTGCGTGTAGAGAGAGAGAGAGAGTGGGCGAAACCCTAAATGAAGCATTATACGCAAGAATTCATACATATTGAATAGAAAAAAAAAGAAGGAAAGTTTGGTGGGGAAGTCTGGGTTGGAGGTGTCACCATCGCATGTAGCTTTCTTATTGTTTTGTCCTGACGGACTGTAAATAGGTATATACAAAACACATATATGTTCTAGGTATTTACGTGTGTGTGTGTGTGTGTGTGTGTATAGCATATGCATGGCAAAGTGAAACGACATTCCTGCTTCTCTTTTTGTTGGGCTGAAATGTTAACACTGTAGAATATATTTCATTTCCCAAAAAAAAAAATTGTATAATAAGAAAGATTGGAGTTTGGACAATGAAACCAGGAATTAATAGAGCACAAAAGAATACGAGGTTCAACATATTATATAAATGTTTAAAGACCAAATGCTCAATGAATTAAATACATTGACTTTTTGACTAAATTTAGAGCTCAAATAACATGGCAGCTGATTATTGAGAGTTTTTATTGAGATCCAAATGACATGACACCAATGAAAGAAGTTCAAGTCAATTGTCATGTCATTTGATTCTAAAATTTGATCAGTCTAGCATTATCCAGATCTCTACTTATCCAAATTATGCATATAGAGTGATTGTCTAATAGATCTATTTGAATACTATCATATTTCTACGAGGGTGTCCAATGGCTAAGGGGTCATTGCCCCTAAGTTTTCAATAATTATCTTTTACCCCCTTAGGTGGCTTTGTACATTGCCAATGTGGTCCTAATAATCTTACAATACATGCTTCCCGACTCTTAGTTGGGGCCACTCCCTGATTCATTATAGCCACACTGCTTAGGTGTTTTTGTTCCTGATGATCATCTACACCAGGAATCTCCTTGTATTTATGTATATATAAACCTGAAAGTATACCAAGCAATGAAGTTCATTAATTGGCCCTCCAACTTGGAAAAAGAAATTTTTAGTTGGCCCTCCAACTTGGAAAATTCTCTCTCTGACTCCTAAAGAATTTTCACGCATACCTCAACTTTCTTAGAGAGAAGTTTTACTTGTTCAAGCTGATCTAAGAACATCTTTAACTCTTACTCAAATTTAGAGTCAAATTTAAATTTGAGTAAAAAAAAGTTCAAAAAATTTGTTCCAAAATTTGACTCAAACTTATACCAAATCAAGGGAGAATCATTTTTTTACTCAAATCAGGGGAGACTCAAATCTTTACCCAAACTTTTAATTATGAGATTTTAATCTCTTTTAAAGATTCAATGGTCATCTTTACTCTTTTTTAAATTTGAGTTTGCCCACATTTAAATTTGGATTTCGCCTTTTTTAAATTTGAGTTTGTCCATTTGAGTCATTTGTATCAAATCAAGTTTTTTATTCAAATATTAATTAAAATTTGAATAAAAATTTAATTCGTAGTTAGAGATGCTCTATCAAAGAGGATTGAAAAAGTCTGAAAAAAAAATGGACTATCATCAACCAAACCCAACTGTTTTTGAAATCCTTAGTGTTGTTCATCTCAGACTCCACAGTTCGTGTTTGTGTGATCATCTAATACATATTTGGAAAAATATTTATTTAAAGAAAAATGTTATCGCTGTTAGACTAAAAGTGAGTTCTATGCTCACAATTAATCCAATAATTTTAATAAATTAAGTCCGTTAAATCCAATTAAGACATGCTATTTTCAAGTGAAAATCAATAAATTCATAATGGGCATATCTATTATTAATTAAATTGAAAGAAAAGGAATAAAATAGATATAGACGCTGATTAAACCTACTTTATAGGACTGAGAGCGGAAGCTCATAGTTTTGACCCAAACTCATACCTGTCACTGTGTGTGTGTGAGAGAGACCCAATATTTACTCGAGAGGTGGGTGGAAGAGAGTGGTCATCGTCAGATGCTCACGGTCTGAAGATTCCTACTTTTCCGCGTGCCACGTCAGATGCACTGGGTCCACAACGCCTTCCCGGCTGTTACGTACCTAGAATATGGATCAAGATATGCTCTCTCTCTCTCTCTCTCTCTCTTTGGGTCGGTGTGAAAAGCATAATCTCACCGTGCATTTTACGGTCCCCACACTGAGACATGATGTGGTGACTTCCATAAACATGGACTATGAGATAGGATCAAGCATTTGCGCATCAAATCTCGTTAAAAAAAAAAGAAGATCAAATCTCAGTCGTTTGATTCGTTGAATGTACCCCTCTTTGCCCAAGAAACTCAGGCTATATTTGATTTGCATATTAGAAATTATTTTTTGGTTTTCAGAAACAATTTCCGGGAAAAAAATAATTTGGCCAGCTTATTTATTTTTTTTTTAAATATGAGAACAAAAAATAAGTAAATTTAGAGCACAATTTAAATTTTGTGTTTTTTGAAAATAATATTTTCAAAATTTAAAAAAAAAACAATCACAACCACCACCACATCCACCACCACCAATACATGTCCACCACCATATTTTCTGTCTTCATTATTTTTTGAGTTAATGTTTAAACAAGTTTTATTCTTTTTTATTTCGTAAAATTATTTTTGAAATTATCTAACAAACAAGTTCTGTAATACAAAAAACAACAAAAACATAGACCATGTTTGGTTTGCGTTTCAAAAACTAATATCTGAATACAGTTTTTGAGAAAAGTTTTAAGAAAGTGATTTTAATATTTTTTTAGATAAAAAACTTGTTTGTTAGATGATTTCAAAAATAATTTTACAATACAGAAAATAGTAAAATCTGTTTAGACAGCTTAAATATATATTTAAACAGTAATTCAAACATTACTAAAAAAATATAAAAAATTTATTTTTACATTGACAATTTCATAATATATATATATATATATAGATATATATAGATATATATATATAGATATATATATATATAGATATATAATATATTTATATTTATATAAATATAAATATAATATTAATATATAATTATATAGATTATAATAATATATAATATATATTAATATAATATAATACTATTATTTATTATATAATATATAACATATATTATAATATATAATATAATTTATTATAATATATATTATGAGAGAGAGGAAGAAGTAAAAAAAAAAAGGAATGAAGAAATTTGCTGTTAAGGAGATTCGAAGGGCAGATCTTATTAAAATCCAAAATTGTTCTCCTTGTTTTCAAAATTTTTAAAAAATATTTTTCTGAAAACAAGTTAAACTTGTTTTTTGTTTCTTTGACTCAAATTTTATTTTTTTTTCTTAATTTTGAGAACAAAAATGCTAAACAAACAAGTTTTAAGTGTTTTTAAAATTTTAAAAATAAAAAACAGTTTCTGAAAAGTTAACCAAACATGGTCATATTTTTCTAAAAGTCATCTCAAAAATAATTTTTAAATATTATTTTTTAAAACTCAAACCAAACAGGCTCTCAATTTCTGACATTCTAGTCAAAACATGGTCAACATTATATAGTTCACATTAACACCCATACCTTGTATTATATTGTGGTGATTGTGATCAGTTGGGTTATATATCTAGGGGGACATTAATCAATTCTTTTAGTCATCAATTGTGGTGTACATGTATAACCCCCACCATCATTTTGAATGTTGTTTTGATTGATGAATGTGTTAGTGTAGATGATTTTAGGTCAAGAAAGTGGGATGAGAAAAGGGCTTTGTTGGTGTGCTTTATGATCATTCATGGGCTGGGGTCCTTATATATATATTGATTGTTGTACATAGTACAATCCCTCTTGTTAGCAATTATTCAACTGCTAGCTAGGGTCGACTCTAAAAATATAAAATGATTGAAAATACTTTGTTTGCTTAATGTATCAATTTAATTCATTCATGCCATCGAATCAACGATATTAATATATTAAATAATAATACTATTCAGACTGAGGTTAGGGGTGTGGGTCTTAGAGTTTGGAGCCGAGGTGGTTGAGATTCTAGAACTAGGACATTAAACTTTATTATATTATTTTAATGTCATCAGAACATTTCGAATAAGTTTAATTTAATTTTAATAACTATGTTGAGGTATCCAAATATTGAAAGTGATTGTTAATTTATTGTAGCCATTCTAGTTGTTGATAAATATTAGAATGATAATGAACATTCTATTTTATTCCCTCCCACATTCATTCTATTCCCATATTTGCAGTGTTAAGAATGATACTATTCATACACCAGTGTGATTCGGCATTCTATGCTAATAGAAATGAATTTTCATTATTACAAACAAAATATTGAAATAACTAATATGTTTTATCAGTAGTGATCATTCTATTTTCTTGCCCCACTACATCCAAATGCAATGGAAGTGATGCATACAACATGTTGATTTAAGTGATAGGTAGAAAAACATCATGCGGTAGTCCAGCGGAGACAAAGATAAGTGATGGGTAGAAAGCGGTAGTCCAGTGGAGATAGAGACGCGCATACATCCTAAGTTTGAAACTTAGCAACTCTCTTAAGATTAGGTAATAAAAGATTTATCTCTCATGAATTTTTTAATGCTAACATGAATGATCTGTTTTTTACCTAAGCTTTCATTAAAATTTCATATGAGCACTTAACCGAATTGTAGTACAACAGGTAACTTATTATAATCTTATAGGATGCTAATATATATATATATGGTGGACCAAAAGGCACCCCCACCCACCAGTTGGAAAGCAAAGTCATCGTGCATGCAACACATTATATATGGATCAAATCACAACTTGCATCTCAGCTCTCCTGCATGCATGTGATATGGTAAATGAGCAGCTAGAAATTTATGGTTAGTGATGTCGGAATCTAATTCATCCTCACCCCCC